AAGAAAAACTTCCAACGGGTGTAATTGTTCATGTTCATCCGAAAGGCTGGATGGACGAAGCTGGAATAAAACCGTGGTTACAGAACTGTGGCGACCAGGTGGACTCTTAAGAAAATCCTCTCTTTTGGTTTTGGATCAGTTTAGTGCCCATAGAACTGAAACCAGAGAGAATTAAAACCCCAGATAGCTGTCATTCTTGGTGGACTGACTAGCCTTTAGATGTATCGGTGAATAAGTCATTTAAGGAAAAAGTGCGAGAACGATGGAACAAGTGGATAGGAGAGCCACATCACTCCCTCAGGTAGAATGAAGCGGCCTTCTATTTCACAAGTGTGCGAGTGGGTTAAAGATCTTGGGAGGACGTAAAGGCTGAAGTAATTGTTAAGTCCTTCAAGAAGTGCATAATCAGTAATGCTCTTGACCGAACAGAAGACTACGCATTATTCGAAGATGGTGTACTACCGATGACGGAAACAGTAGTGATGACATATTCTCGTTTTCGATGATGAGAGTGAAAAGGATTTTTATGGTTTTGAAAGTGATTAAGTCTAATTTCATGATAGGCAACATTTTCTGAATCTGTGTTTTTTGTTGTTTCTGCTTTATTTTGTATTATGTTTGATTGCTTGCCATTCATTCATTTATTCATTATTGAAATTTACATATCATGTTCAAAATATCTTGCCATTTGTTAATTTATCTTAATAAAAATATGTTTGGTAATTTGCATTCAATGATTGTTTATTTGGTTTTTACCAAACGTGAGAACTAAAAGAAACCACATTTTAAGTTATTGTGGTATAAGCGCAGACTATTGAAACTTTTTTTCTTGTGTGTGGACCTCTAAATAAGAGTGCGTCAAATACAGTATATGAAATTCAGTTAACATTGCTAAAATTTGAAAAATGTGCTAAAATTTGAATGCTAATTCTGAAAGGACTGCTGAAGCTATTTTTACTTCTGCGTAATTTGAGGTGTAGAATGAAAATATGGGAAAAAATCAACATGTCATTTCAGAAGAAGTCCTAATTTGTATCAAAATACCTAGGTTATAGCAAAGTTTATCTATATAAAACTAATATGTATCCCAAGTCATGCTTTTGATACTTAAAAAATGCAGGTTGGTGATATTTAAATACAATGATAAATGTGCAAAAATCAGACACTTCTTGAATAAAACTAAATTCAGTATAAGTCTATTTAGCTTCCATACTTAGCTGAACTACCACTATTAATATTATTTATGAAATGTTTTATTTATCCTCAAGGTTTTCAGTTTAAAAGGCATTCTGTCTTTGTCTTAATGGGTGACAAGAGGATGTGTGCTAAAAAGAGATCATCCGTATTTCTTTTTAAGTGAGAATATTTGCTAGGCAGAGTTGTTTTTCATTCAGGAGATTAATTCATTTGCTGTGCTAAACTCTTCATGTTTTCTTCCTCATTTTGCTATTCAAAATGAACTATGTAAATTACATTTTTTAGTACAGTGTAGTGTGCATAGTGTTTGGCCTGTTAGCAGCTACAGCATATATGGTGCTTAAAGTGGTGCAACCAGAAAAACCATTTTATCATGCATATGGTTAGATCTTCCACAGTGTAGGAATTAGTAAAGCATTCCATTACTTTTAATTTTCTCCCCTTGGTCATATATTTTCAATAGCAGGGATGTAAGGAGTTGTTTAAAGGCTAAATTCCCATCTACAAAGGGCAAGTCATACCTTGTCCAAAATTAGTGTTTTCATTTAGAGGTTAGTTAGAAATTTAGAGGGGAATTAAGTTACAGAAGTGCTGTGGAAAATGGCATTGTAAATAGGCTGATGTAATTCTTCCACAGTTGCACATTATTGATATCCATATGTTTTTCTAGAAATTCCTTTATAAAAGATTGCTGTAGAATATGAAGGGATATATCACAGTGTTTAAATGTTGAGATTAGCATAAAATTCATTGTGCTGAAAGTTATCAGAAGTTTTTAAATATCCAGCTAGAAAGCATTAATGCCTCAGTAATGTTTTGTCGGTACTGTCCTGTTATCAGGACCAGATCCAGAAATATATGAATGTATGTGTTCATGTATGCATCTATATATGTAAGCATGAAAGTATGTGGGTGTATACATATACACACATATATGCACATACATACATACACATGCATATACATTCATACATTTCTGGATCTGATCCCAGTAACAGAACAGGACCATTTTGCCTTTGTTATGCTTTGCTTGGTCTTTCCATCTACTATTGTGTCGTAAACACAAATATTACAGCTGATAAAACAATCGCTTGATAGTATGATTTTTTTATATAAACAAGTAATAACCAATATAAAGGAATACCATGTATTCATTCAGGGCCGGATTTACGTATAAGTTACACACGCTATAGCTAAGGACCCCCCCCCAAATTAAAATATAGTATAAACAGTATTAAAATATATTATAACAGACTTATAAAAGGCTCCCATATCTCAAATAGCTTAGGGCCTTATTAAGTCTAAATCTGGCTCTATATTCATTTAGACCTCACTAATGCCTGAACTGTTGAAACCACTCAATGCTATGAGTTCAACCCAGGCAAATGGGCTGGCTGCATTGTTTTTTATAGTTCCTTCCACTTGTAATGTGAACAGGAGCCTATTTCTCTTAGAAAGCCTTGCATGTAGATATCCTATGTAAACAGATAGCACTCACATGCCTTGGCATATTCAAATAATCTAACCTAACACATATTCATTTGCATTTATTTATTGTATATCATTAGGATAATTTTAGGTTTTAACCATTTACTTTATTTTTTATGATATAAATATGAAAAAATAATGCAACAAAGAGATTTGAACCTTTCAGGAGCAATTATTAAATACTAATCAGTATGAGTTTCATTAGTCACCATTGGCATGAATGGGATGTTGCCTTTTGTGTAAATGTTGTAAAGTAAATGCTGATAAAATTTTCCATTTCACTATATTTGGGACAAAACATATAAAATTATCGATTTGTGTAGCATTTTTTTTTTTTTTTTTTTTTTTTTTTTTTTTTTTTTCTCCTTGTAAATACGAGAAGCCTTTGTCTGATCACGATCCAAACCGATAGAGTTTTATTTCAAATCTGGACCAAAATAAGGTTCCTTTTTGCCAAATTTTAAATATTATGATATTTATCTCCTGGAGAAATCCAAGGGTCTCAGCATTGAAGCAAATAAAAGCTTAAAATTATTTCTAATGTCATTATCCATACTGAAAGTGTTATAATCATCTTTCAGATCACATATTTTCACAGTGTGACATCCATTCGAGAAACAGAAAACACTTTTCAAGATAATTTACCATGAAGAACTTCCCAGTATTTTCACTAGGTGAATGATTCTGATGACTATGTATATCTATTACATTTTTAAAATTTTAGTACCGAGGGTTCTTTTAATAATTCATTATTTAAAATTTGCTCCTAAATATTAATGTTGCATCAAATAGCGTTGCTCAAGATGCATTACTCAGCTAATAGAATCAATTTCATTTTGTAATATTACTAACAATTCAACATCTTCAAAGCATTTTGAATTTTTTTATTTCTTAAAATGCTTTTATAAATATGTATAGCTGTATGTATATATGATAGCAGTACTGAAATTAACAAACTGTTGTGGACTAACTTTTGTTTGTATATATAAGGCTTCAGCGAGTCACAATAATAACAGAGATTCTAGAGTTGTGTGGCTGGGAGACACCGAGCAGCTGTTGACTACTGGATTCGGAAGTGTATGTATTTTGTACTGTTCTTTAATAGCTCTAATTTGTTATTAATTTTGTTTCCAAGAAAGAATCATGTATTCCTTAAAACGTAAAATGTGCAATTTAATTTTTTAAATAAGTTTTTTTTATTATTTATATAATATATACCATACTGTTTGCACATTAATTTCTGAGGTGACTTACTACTCTATAGAGATCATCATACATGAATGCCATAGCAATTAAGATTATAAAAGTTTTACATTTGAATTTTTGATTAAATTCTTAATTAAAGGAAAAATTATTTTGCAAAATATTATTCTGTTTTCATTTCTCTTATTTTTTTTATTTATTTAGCTAAAATACTCTAAATCTTTTTTTTTTTTCTAATATATCTTAGGGAAGAGAAAGAGAAGTGCTTCTTAGAGATATCCGTAAGCTGGAGGATCCTGTAGCTTCCTATTCAGGAGATTCGAGTCTTGGGTATTTTTAATTTTTGTTCTGTTTGGCTTAGATTAATATTAAAAGCGAAATACTCGTGTAGATATTTATTGTCTTCTCTGTGTGTAATATTCAAATATGTGTATTAAAATCTGTACGTGTTATTTTACTATGTATTTATTTTTATATATGTAAATCTATATTAATATATTGTGTTTTCAATTATTATAAAATTTATGTCTCTCTAAAATAGCATACAATCATTTAAATGCTGAGTAATATGGTAATTATTTTAATAATTGAATGTTTGTTATATCTGACATTTTACTTTCTACTTTATTTGGTCAAATGCATATGTAAAGTGAAGTTATAAGCTTCAAAATACATGGCTGTATTATAGAAAAATAGCATTAATTTTTAATAGCAATATATCATTATATGTAACTTTAAATTCACTTAAATTTTCCTTACATTTGAAAGTGGCAGGTGTTTAATGTTTGCATTTAATGTTGAGTATCACAAAGTTCATAGCATTCTCTCTGATGGGGAATTGATGTTTAAATGATTAAATGTAAATTCTTTTAATAATGCTAATGTAATATTTTTGCCAATATTCGCATGGATGTCTTTATCATGAATAGATTTGTGATCACAGTATGTTTAGGTACTGGAATGGCTAGAGATTTGATCCTTAATGAAAAGGTGCTGTGTTTGATTTATTGTATTATTTCAGAAAAATTCTCATAACAAAATAAATGTATGGATATATGTGATCAAGAAAGTTTGTTTTGTGATAAAAAATATCTGTTTAAGAGAACTTATTAAGGACGGATTTTTATGGTGCTTTCAACATATAACATTTTTACATAATGTGTTCATCTTTCTATTAACTGTTTCATAATGGAAGGTGCTGAGACACCTATACAAGCGACAAATGTTGGGAAGATGCTTGTGAGATGAGTGCCTAACTAGATTTCATACTTGGGGGCTATTTTCACCATGTTAATGCATTGTGTATTGTTTTGAGGAGCTGCCAAATGAGTTGTCAGTCATTGTATTATAGTTGTTTGAGCAGCAGTCCACTGCCCTTTCCTTACATGGTCCTTTCCCCAACTTTTATGCTGTATAAATTTTAATTGGCTGGCTTATTTACCCCTTGCATAGTAATACAAGTTGTGTTATTATTCTGCTACATAGTTGTAAAATGTTTAGACGACAAAAGTTTTGATCCAAGCAAAAATAAATCCTGTATTACTTGAGAAGGCATTTTTGGCCTAACAAGCATTCCTAATACATCTGTGTTGCAGCTTCCTATAGCAGATGCATGTCTACCTTCTCATCATTTAAAAAGTCTCTCATTCCATATGACAACACAAATGCAAATAGTTTGTTTCCCCAATTACATGAAGTTTATGGGTAGCAAGTTGTGTACTACTCTTTATTGATAACAGTACAAGCCAGCAATTTCGAGAAGTTATTGCAAACATTGCTGTAAAAAATTCCTTGTCAGTGATGCTGTATGTAAACAATTTAAGCTTTCTTTCATGTCTTAGTTCTTGAATTTGTGCCTCAATACATCACTTGCACACATACTTTCCTACACAGAGATTGTTTATTGTAGTGTGTGCATACAAGTGTTCAGTATATGAGATGTTGTTCAGAAGGAAACCAAACTTTTGCTATAGCACCTTTATTGCTTTTTGTACAACATTTTAAGCACTGTCCGCCTCAAAGTTGTCCCCTCTACTGGCAGCACGCCGTTCCCATTGTTTCCTTCAGTTTTGAGAACTTTTTCAATTTTCTCTTGGAATGCACTTTTTTAGATAGCATGCAAATCTTTTGTCGCTATGTTCTGAATCTCCTCTATGGTTTGGAAATGGTGTCCTTTCATTGTGGTTTCCAGCTTGGGAGAAAAGATTTTGTTGAGGATAGGTCTGGAGAATAGGGTGGATGGGGCACAACTGGAGTGTAATGTTTTGCTAAGTATCTTTGGACAAAAAGCGATGCATGAGCTGGCACATTATCATGATGCAACAACCAAGTCTGTTTTTTTTTTTCATTATTGTGGCATCCTGTGCACAGCATCTCTCAAGTGTGCTAGAATTCATGGTAACTTCCTTGTTTAACATCTGACCACATGGTACAAATTTGTGATGGACAATGCCTTGCAGTCAAAAAACACAACCAACTTCACCTTGATCTTTGACTGATGATGATGACCTAGCACTGCATGTGACTCATACATGTGACCCATATGCTTGGCTAAGCAATTGAATGTCTCTGAGAAAGTTTTGCCAAGTTTGTAGCAAAATTTTATGCACATACATTGTTATTCAAGCTCTTTCATTGCCACTTTGGCACTAATCTGACAAATGGCTTGCACATTTGCTGACTTCAGTGGTTGTAGCTAGCCAATGGTCAGAGTGAAATGCTACAAATGGCAGTTTGTTATTCAAACCTGCTGCTACATATGTAGGCTGTTTTTTAAGTAATGTCCATTAAAAAAAATAACAATAATATTTTGTTTAAAAAAACCTTTATTTTAGGATTGTACATACTTTTGCCTATTTTTCTATATATTTGCCTAGTTTATTAATGCACTTGTCATACCTTAAAACTAAGGCTGTATGGTGCATGGTTCAAAACTTTCCATCCAAAAGATTCAATTAAGTCTGGAGTTGTTCGAGAAGTGTAAGGCCTTGCGTCGTCGTGGACGAGCAAAATTCCTTTTGACAGCAGGCCCACCAGCGGCTGAGCGGTAAAGTCGCTGGACACTGGTAGTTCGGTCCGAGGTTCGAATCCTGCGAACGGGCTGGCTGCATGGGTGTTTTCATGGTTTTCCCCATGTTTAACATGTATACAAGCCAGTTTCCCTTAGAAAGTCCTCCACAAAGGCATCCCTCTCCTTAGGCAGATAGCCTTTGAGGTTTTGCCCTAATTAAATAACCTAATCTAACCTAAACTTTTGATAGCATGCATAAAATATTCTTATGCCTACTTCTCAAAAGGACTTACAACAGGTAAAGGATTTAAGACACAATAACACGCCGAATAAATACTAATTCAGAAGTCAAACAACAAAAATCAGCATTATAATGCTGATTTTTGTTGTTTGACTTCTGAATTAGGTAAAGGATTTGTTATGTATTAATCGTTTTATTTTTTTTTTTTTTAAGCTTAAGTTGTTTTGCTTATTTCAGTTTTGATTTGTATTGAAAGTTCTATTTTTTTTTTTTTTTTTTTTTTTTTTTTTCCTGTTTAAAGTTGGTTGTAAGTTTAAATTGTAACTTTTGTAAACTTTAATTTTTGGTTAGGTTGCTTTAAAAGTTCTGAGTTGAAGTTGTTTAATTTTTATTTGAGTTTAGGGACCTAAGATTTTTGGTTTTTGTATCTAGTTGTTTTGAGCCTTAAGGTTGTTTAACTTTTAACTTTAATTTTATTTTAAAGCCTTGCTGTTGCACTTTTGGTGTGTTAATTTTTTTTTTCTTAACCTTGAGTAATTTAATTTGTATCCCTCTTTCTTTTAACATTAAACAAATACATAATTTCTGACTGGCGGGGAAAAAAAAATTAACACACCAAAAGTGCAACAGCAAGGCTTTAAAATAAAATTAAAGTTAAAGTTAAACAACCTAAGGGCAAAACAACTAGATACAAAAACAAAATCTTAGGTCCCTAACTCAAATAAAAATTAACAACTTCAATCAGAACTTTTAAAGCAACCTAACCAAAAATTAAAGTTTACAAAAGTTACAATTTAAACTTACAACCAACTTTAAACACAAAAAAAAATAGAACTTTCAATACAAATCAAAACTGAAATAAGCAAAACAACTTAAGCTTAAAAAAAAATAAAACGATTAATACATAACACTCAAAAGGACTTACGACAGGTAAAGGAGCAGGCAGGGAAGGCGGTTGGTTTATGTTTTTATGTTTATTAATCGGTTATCTTATTATTTTGCCTTTATTTTCATTTCTACTTTTGCTGACTTCCAATGGTTTCCACATAGTTCACGTATTAAGCACAGAGTTCATAAGAGAGATCTTTTGGCAGCTATAGCTGATGTCTTGCTGAAGTTTGCTAGTTTAGGCCTGAAGCCAAGCTTCTAGGCTCACTTTGTCGTGTAATATAACATTTCAATTGGGCTTTTTTCTGATGTTTCCTTAAAGCTGAGTAGATTTACTTTTTATACATAGACTATGTAACCTTTAGTTAGGCAATTAAAAAAGATTTATTTTAAAATACTGAATCGCAGTTATTTTACTTAGAACTTTAGGCGAGACGACAGGTCATCTGTCTTTGCAGATATAGTAGTTAACAGTCAGATTAGACATTATTTTCTGGCTAGAACTTGGGGACTAAATGATCTGACATTATTCTCTGGCTAGAACTCGATAATTAAAAGATCATGTAGTCGTCTGCCAAGTTACAAAGGACTTTCACAGTCAGTATTTGTGCATGTCCGTAGAAATTTGGAGAGCTAAACTTTCATTTTACATCTGTATTTATGAAATAAATTTATTACAGTAGTTACAAGTACCTTTTCTGTGTCATTAATTTTTATTTGGCTGTGTTTGAAAACCAACTCAAGATTCAACAGCAGTTCCTGAAGAGTTCAACTGCTATACAGATGGAATATGCGTCCTAAGCAACATATATGTCATAACATGAGTTGCTAGATTTACTAGTAGTGGGTTATCCATGTGTGAAACATCGACACAATTCAAAAGATGGTTTAAAAAATTTTCAATGATGCACAGAGTTCTGAGTACACAAACATTTTGGCAAATTTCCCTAGAAATTATGCTGAAACAGTGCAGCATTCAGTGCTGATAAATGATGATTCCAATGTCACTAAAATTGCAAATTTTTTTATTTTTATAGCGAATTTACCGAGCATCAATACAAGTCATGCCAAAGTTCTGATTCCAAACGTTTAATGATTTCTTAGGAAAGGGTTGAAAAGATGTGAATGATGAAAATAGTTCAAAGATTTGGGATTTAGAATTTAAATCTTTCTGAAGATTCGAGAGATATGAAGTTTTGAAAGTATTAATCTAATAAAAATGTAATTTATAATCCAGTTTGCATCTAATGAATTAATTATTTAAAGTCAGATTTTGCATCAGTATGTTGGCCATCATGTTAATCGTGTGGGAAAGTAAAGTTATTAATTTTCATGTTAAAGCCTATTTTCTCCCTCTTTCCAGCATGCTTTCGTGGTGTAATGGTTAGCGCACTGGGCACATATTCGAGGGGTCCAGGTTCGAGTCCCAGCGAGGGCATTGCTCATTTTTCATGTCTCCTGCTTCAAAAATCCTAATGTCTACAGGCTGAAAAAGTTAAAAGCTGCTTGTAATATAATTTTTATTTTTCAGATAACAGTTTCTCTGTGTATGCCGTCCTGCATAACTTATTTTACTTTTTCTAAAACATTATGCAGAACTCCAAATTTGAGAAAAACATTCAGTTTGTTTTTTAAAAATGAGTCAGTTATTCTTCACTCAAATGAAAAGAACTTTTACAATATGCATTTCTAAAGACCAATGCATATTCTTTCCACTTGAGTTTACTTCTAATGAAACTAAACAACAGTCATGAACGAAGAGGAATAAAGGAAACCAAAAGAAAATGCTTGTTTTTTACCTGAAAGGATAATGTATAGTAAGCAAATTCATGGTATAGTAAGCAGTTTCAAATTTATAATTTATAATTTGTAAGAACATAACATTTCTGAATGCAAAGCAGGAGAAATAAAGTTTCACATTTTTATGAAACCGTGTTAATTAAATAAAAAATATCTTTAATTTAATTCAAATATTTCATTACTCTTTAAACGATAAAAATGTGGATTTGCGATTCTTGGAAATCCAGTTGAGGCTATCGAGCTTTCACGAAATGTACCATGTGGCTCCTATAATAGGGAAGTTTGGCCACCCCTGCTATATAGTGAGAGTGTCGGGAATATTTTTTCTAAAATATGGATCTTGTTTATTTCATTTCTTAATGAGTACCCTAAATTAAGAAGAATATCATTTTTATGTTAGATTTTGTTTATGTCAAAAATTTTTGGCTTAAGTAGACTAATATCTTTTTAATAATTAGTATTGTTCATAGTTTACGATTCCTAGTTTTACATATATATATATATGTTCGTAGTTTTGCATATATATGTATAATTATTTATCATAAAGATAACCTATTTTAATGCACCCAAAATATGTTTTGACATGTTTTTTATTTAATAACAATTTAATTTTCAGAGTTTATATTCCTTTGTTTGATCCTGATACGAATATGCTGTTCCTAGTTGCGAAGGTGAGAAAATTATTAATATATTTTAATTGGATTTACTGAGATTCACATTTCAAAAATTATTTTGTAGGATTACTAGAAGTTATTACTAGAAGAATTACTAGAAGGAAAAATTATTTTGTATTTTAAAAGTATGTTTTATTTTAAAGGCTGATACAGCTATTTCATTTTGGGAGGTTCTAGATCGTGCTCCTTTTTTGCAAGAAGGTAAGAAATTTAATTTTAGTAAATTGCAGTTTGTATTTAAATTCAATCAAATCTTCAGGTAGTTTTAAATTTTATCTGCCCCTCAAAAAAAATTTCAATTGTAAGAGGATAGTTGACACAAATTATTGACAGTGATAACAGTTACTACATAATGAAATACTTAGACAAGTTTCTGAAAGAGTTTCAATTTGTAAGAGAAAAACTTAATACAGTCAAAAGTCGTTAATTCGGACACCCATAATCCGGACCTCAAAGCAACAAACTTTCTGCGCATGCTTCGCATTTACGCATGCGCATAGGCGTTTACGCATGCGCGTAGACCTTTACTGCTGCGAATATGCGTGTGCGCATGTGCATAATACGTTTACGCATGCGCGTTTAATGTATAACGGACAGTATAAGCTAAGCTAAAATTATCTAATTCAGTTAATGTTGCAGATTGCGTTGTTCCTTAATCTTCAAATTGGATCTGGCTTATTATTTTTTTGCAGCTTATTAGAGCAATTTTATAAAAGTAAGCTTGAACTTTCGATTATCTCAAATAGAATTTCCGATATATATTTACTAATATGTAAAGGATCTACAAAGCGAATTGTTTATCAGTTTCACGCTGCTCTCTTTCGATTATGTCAAATAGAAATTCCGATATATATTTACTAATATGTAAAGGATCTACAAAGCAAAAGTATGTTTCAAAATCCGAAATTTGTTTATCAATTTCACTCTGCTTTGCGGCCGGGGGGAGGGGGGAAGCCGCGGCGCACAATGAATTGGAAGTTGATCTGTCAGCACTATCCTTATCTTCGGGGCAGATGTTTTTATTTTATTTGGCTTATAATTCCTTACTAAATGTAGTATTTCATCTCGATGTGCTCCTTTGATATGATTTAAATCAAGCTCCTCGTCATTATAATTCGCTTCCGATAGTGAAGAAAGTGACACAGAGGTTATTGAAAACGAAAAAATTTTGATTGACAAATTAGTCGGTATTCTCGACACAGCAATTATAGGACTTGAACAGCGGAACTTTGTAACTAAACAAGAAATTATGTCTGTTTAATAGAATTAAAAGGAAAGTATTATCACATGAAACGAAGCAACTTAAACAACTTACATTGAAAGAAAGTTTTAATACAGTAAACAAATACTAAATGTTAAGCTTTTTCTTTTTGTAAATTTTGATACCCTTTAGATCATAATTGTTTTTTATTTCATAAATTACTGTTTCATATTTTTAATTTTGTAATTTCTGCATGCCATCTTACCAGATTTAAACTGATGATCTATAATCTGGAAAAATCGATAATCCGGAATCGCCAAAATCCCGACGAGTCCGGATTAACGACTTTTGACTGTATATATTGAAATTGTTTAGTTACTTTGATATTTGCTAGATGTAAAAATATTAATATTTAATAATGACTTTATGAAAACTCTTTTTAATCCAAATATGTAAACCATACATTCTTGTGTAGAAAGTAATATAGTTTTTATAGTGTGCCTTTATGTATTAACGTAATTTTTACATGACTGATTTTATCAACTTTAGCTACAAAATACCTTGGTGAAGTGCAGGCTAAAGGAGCTGCATTAGTACCAAAACGAACTTTGGAAGTTATGGATGGAGAAGTTAACCGATTATTGCTTTTGGGACAAGATTGCATAGTTCCCATTTCTTTTCAAGTACCTCGAAAAGTTAGTTGTAATATTATATTTTTATTCCTCCCAAACAATTAAATTACTGAAAAGAAAGTATTTTTCACTGAAAGATGAAGTATAAATTTAATGAAAGTATTCCAGACAATGACACTTAATGTGGTCTAATGAGATACATTTCGGTGACGTTGGAGGTCATGTGATGTAAGAGCTGCTAATGTAAACAAACAAGCTTGTGCTGTGGTAGATGTGGTGAAGTTTCAGAAACTTTGTTTATTTTTAATTAGTTATGAAATTTTCATTTCATCTTTATTTATTATTTCATCCATTAATTAACTGTTCATTCATTTGGGTAGTATAATTTTGTTAACTCTTATATGTTATTGTTATCCTCATGATACTCTTTTGTTCGCTGCTTTACCATGTTTTGATTGTTAATATTTATTTATGAAGTCTTTCCTTGATCTGAAATTAATTCATTTATAAAAAATGTAAAAATGAATACATAAAATCATGTTCACATAGATTGCTCTTCTACACTGAAAAGAAAGTTACTATAAATATTTTCAAGTCGTAATTTTATCAGCTTAACAAGCAGAACAGAAAATATAAATAGTTGGTTTCTGAAAATCGTAATAGTCAAATTTCCGGAGCGTTGTAAATGCAGTTGGCCCTTAAATCATGTAAGAAAAATGATGCCAATGTTCTACGCAGTTCAAAATTAAATTATAATTTTATACAACTTAAAAAATTAATTTTTAGCAACTGACTATTATCTTATTGATAGTATATACTACAAATTAATACTTTTTGTAAACTATAATATAAATTTCAAAAAGAAAACTATAGAGATTTGTGCAGCTGTGTTCACTGCAGTACTAGCTGTGAAACTAATAATTTTTCATATTTTTTTTTTCATTTTATAATAATAAAAAAGTACTATCTGTATTCATTTTAAATATTCAAAAAAAAAAATTGAAGTTATTTTTAATCTTGTAAGTTACATAATTTATGTGCAGAATTTTTTATTTTAAAATCGTGCAGATCAAAAAGATTTTCCAGTGTATTTATTGAAAAGATCTGCCATAAGAAATAGACTTGTGTAATTCTAATATACCTAAGGCACATGTTATCTCAAACTATGGACTGACACGACCACTGGTTTTCAAGGACTAAATATACATGCCAGGGTTGCCATGCTACCTGGAAAACCGGAAAAAGTCAGAGAATTCGGAAATTGACCAAAAAATTCAGGGAAAAGTCAGGGAATTTAAGTGTTTTAGTCAAAATCTGGAAAAGTCAGGGAATTTCATACAATGATTCCGCCAAAAAAGGTGAGTTTTGCGCCAACGTCAGAGGAGATCGCTTTTTTGGCGAATTGTGTATCACGTGAGTGTCATTCGGGCAGCTGGCATGAGCCAATTTTCGTAGCTCCAATTTGATTGTCTTTTTAGAAAGGCAAAGCAAGTTTCCCACCACTTTTGATTTCCAGTAACCTCGAGAATAGCATGTGCAGTGCATGAACTAAAGAAAGTACCTGTTCTCGTATAAAACAAAATGGGTTTAATCCTAGTATATGGTACCATGAAGGTTAGAATTAAAAAAATATGTATTGTAAAGAAGGAAAACCTCTCTGCAACAGACGTGGCTCAGTTCCATCATAGCGAGGAAACAGCTGTGCATGTGCAATATATCTCGAAAGCTCGAAACCGGTGTCGAAGTTCGAAGGTCACATTATCAAGAATTCATAAAATGAATATCGTTTAAAATTTCTTTAAACTCTAAAGGAAAAGAAAATATTTTTTGGCGCAAATAAATTAATTCATGGATTAGTTATTTTGAGAGGGGGGAAAATCTACGAAAATCCGTTTTAAAAATTATTGCCAAAAATCCAAGAAAGAGCGTTATTTGATAAAACGTTTCTTGGATTTTTCGCAATAATTTAAAAACGAATTTTCGTAGTTTTCTTTTTTGTCAAAGAACGTTTCTTCTTAACATGTGTTTCTCAATTTCCTGTACACATCGCGGAGAGGGAAATTCTGGCCGTTCCGTCGTCAAATCCCTTGGCAAATTTTCCCTCTGCTTTTTACATAGACGTTCTTTGGTCAGAATAATCTCATGTATGGTACAGCGGGATTTGGCGACATGATGATGAGCAGTAAATGGGTCATTTTGCTCTTCGCAACAATTTTCAAAATCATGCGAAGGCCGTATCATATACTAGGATTTTACCACAAAATATTTTTTTTTCTTTTCTTTTCTTTTTAATAAATACCTTGTCATTTTGCAGTAAAATAAAAAAATAGTAATCAATCATCTAGGATAACCATGTAATATAACTATATTCGCTAAAATATTGTTGATTATTCTAATTAAATTTTTAAGTAATTATCTTTATTTTTATTTTATTCATATCATTTAATGTTGTTTCTTCCCTCTAAATTTATTTTATCATTAGTAAATAATATTTCCAAATTTCAGAAATTTTCTCTGGCATAATCCTGAAATTAATTCTAGCATATGATGACATCACGAAATTTAATGCACATATTTTTTCTTTATGTATGCTGCGAAATAAATTAAAATACCTCAATTTAATAAAAAATATCATAAAATAGATTTCTTTCTTTCGTTTGCTGCAGAATGTCTGCAAAAAAAGCCTTATTTTATTCCAGATTGGGCAGATTGTAATGTCAATCTTCAGTGGAGAAAACAAGTCCTATTATAATTATATTTGTGTTTTCAAGTGTTAAGGGGCCTTTTAAGTATACACCTCACAAAAATTAAATTTACCTAAAATCTAACCTAACTTTTAGCATTGCGTTGTGATTTATAAGAACCGAATTAGCCTCGTGTTAAACTGGGGATGATCATGAGTAATAATTAAGTAAAACGTACAGTTGTTATCCAATGTATATATCTTAAATTAAGTTTTTTAAGCGGAAAAGTAAACAAAATTATCAAAGTGTACCAAGAATAATTAAGAATAAATGTCCTCTGGGATTTATTGAATTATTAAGTGAATTTGCTACACAGTACAAGGAATACCATAATTAATTTACCTCTTAGCACAGCCAACGTACATTACACGGATAGACTGGAATTTTCTTGAAACATACCTGGAAAACCTGAAAAAGTCAGGGAATTTCATTCTCCTGTTTGAGTGGCAACCCTGACATGCTAATTTAATATTTAAACTAAAAAACTCAGAAATCTCCCATAAAAATTTAGAATTAATTATAAATGCTTATAAAAGCATCCTTTTATATTAAAATGTTTCAGTATTACTGATGCTTCTAATATTACAGCTTTGGTATCCTTAATATCTAAAATAGAAGGTATTAAAAATTAACATTCTGATATTTATGTGTAATCATTAAAAGTTGATTACTACATTTAAAATATTAAAACATAATCTGATGAAATTAATAAAATTTTAGCTGCATAAAATATTCTATGACACTAATTAATATTAATAAGAGAAAATTGGCTTTCTATTTATGTTCTTGCAGATAAACAGATCTTTCACAAATTTGGCTATTTCAGTAATTTAGAATAACTATTTATGAACTATGAATGTACTGTTATGACACTTACATTTAAAAGTTTGGAAATAAGTTATTCAAGGTCTCAAGAATAGTTTTCAATTAACTGATATACACTTAATTTTCTTAATAAAAAACATTATTAATACTGGTAAGCATCAATTATAAATCTTACCTCGTTTTCTGCAGAAATTTGCACAGATGTTTCATAATTAATTGATTTCTTCATTTCAGCCTTAACACAGCTTGTTATAAGTACCGTGATATCTGGCATTACTTTGAAACAAATATTGTTCACATGTTTTTCCTTGAATAACAAAAGACCCTTCTTCTTGACATCAAGGAAGGAGAAATCATTTCCAAATGTATTTTTTTAATTTTTCACAATAGCCATAAATTTCTAAATTCGAAAAATCAATTAATTTTAGCGGAATATCTGCTATCGACTCCATTGTAAACATAGCACATGCGGATGTTGTTATTATTAAAGCACGTGAAGACATTTTTCCTCTTCTTCTCTTGCGAAATGTATCTCATTATATTTTGATTGCAACATATTTGAAAAATGTGTATTTTACTTTTCTAAATCATTGAATTTTCTTTCACAAAATGTATAGATTTTGAGAATTTGGAATATCCATGCAAGGGTTGTTTGTTGGATCAAAATGCAATTTACTGTTGTGTGAAATATGTTTCATATAAATTTATACATGTGTATATATGAATATTTATTGATTAAAAAATTAGCTTTGTGGAAAATTTATCTTCATTCTTTTATGTATATTATTTTAAGTGGTAATAGTTTTTTCATTTTGTTTACTGTTAACAGTCTTACAGAGATTTCCACGATGATTTGTTTCCTGACACTTTTGCTGCTGAACCCTCTTTAACGGCAGCACAATGGCAAGCTGGAGAAAAAGCCAAAGTAATAATTCCTTTTGCAAATGTTTAAAACTTAAGACATTTTGATGGACTTGAATGTTTTTCTATTTATAATTTAATTTTAATGTATTATTTTACATTTATAATTTGTTGATCGCCTTACCAGTGTCCAATGAATTCAGTTCAAGCAATCTATTTGTGGCAATATAGGAATGCCTGAACTGACTTCAGATAGGAAAACATTTGGTGTTTCTATTCCATGAAGTCTGAAATGACATTGTTTCACATTTTGAAAATCGGGCAGAATTAACTGTAAAGATCCCTATTGGGGTGAAATAGTAAAGAAAAGAAAAAAAAAAAATTCTCTTTTTGATACATTTTTCTAAAATATCCTCAAGCAAGGGATTAAATGGTTTCTTTACTGAAGATGTAATTTGTTGATTTCATGCAAAGCAAGGCAATTTTTTAAAATGACTCTGAATTCATACATTACTGATATAAAATTAAAGAGTGAAAAAAAAGTGCATACATTTGTTATGGTCTTATAAATTCTCTAATAAGGAAGTATTTTTTATTCTTATTCTGTATGCCAGTTGAAGATTCATAGATAAAAAGAAAAATATATTATTTTTCATTTTATTGAATTATTTCAGTATTTTCCATATGACAACTTAACAACAGCTAATCGTGTTTTAATCAGTAATGATAATCTGTAAAAAATTTAGAATATGAGAAGTAAAATAAATTCTAGTATATAAATGAAAATGTGCAGTAGTGCCAGCATTTGTTTTGAGATTTAATGTCTAAAAACTCAAGAAGTAATAAGCAAGACAGAATGAAAGCTCAAATATTTTTAATTTGTACTTAAATTTAATCAATTTCAGATTTATGTATTTAAATGCTTAAAATTTCAAACTGAAAGCATTTAGTTTCTCTCTAATGAAAGGTTAAAAAGTACTTCTAAGAAAGTTTCTTATTCATATGTTTTTTTTTTTTTTTTTTTTTTTTTTTTTAGGTTCTAAAAGTAAGTTTGATGCCTTCAAAAAACCAAGAAACTTTAGTGAAAATTAATCACCTTCTAGGGTCAGGTCCTAAAAAGGAAGTATTAAACTCTTCTATGAAGACTAATATCACTGATCATGAAGAAGAAGAAAAGGTTTCTTGCAACAGTGAACTTCAAAATGAAAAATCTAAAGACCCGAGTGCAGTTTCAAAACCTGTACCTGCAAGAAAGGTATGTTGCTTTTTAAACAATAAAATAAAATCATATTTTTAAGTACGAGTTTCTGGTAAACGTAACTGAAAAACTGTATGTAATTAACATAATTATAAAAATAGCATGTAATACTTAAGAATTTTTTTATGTAGCACTTATTTTATATGTTCTAAATAAATTTATATATTTAAATTTATGTACAGGGAAAAAGTATGGAGTTTTCGAAAATTTTTAAAATCAAAATATTAATTCAGTTACATGTTTAATTTTTTTTTTACCATTTTATATGATTTTTTCGAAGGTTTTATACTGTAAATAACATACTAGCTATCAGAACTGAGTTAATAAAAATTTTTGTGCTAAAACCATAACCAAAGGAATAACATAAACAAAATAACCATAAACAAAAGGAATTTTTTAAAAAAATGTATTGGAATTTCATGATATTTCTTCTTTTTAAGCCCTCTCCCCCTGTGAAACCTAAACCTGTGAGTACAAATGTTAAATCTGATCTTAAAGCTCCTTCTCCTATTCTGACTCCTAAATCAGCTCAAAATGTGCATCCTTGTGATAAGGATGAAAAGGTTTCAAATGATTCTGAGAAATCAGATGTACCTCTACCAGTTCGCAGACCTGCTCGTACATTTGGAAGTAAGTATGTCAAATGGTTTGATTTTGTGTTTTTCTTATTCTTGGACTTTACCTGGATTTGGAGTATCATACTAATAATAAATTAGCATAAATTTACTATTTCGGCAAGTTATTTTTATTTGTCAGATCCACGATTTATTATTTTTTTTTATTTTTTTTATTTTAGTAAATATTGTAAACTGTATTAATTTTTCCCCATTTCTTTTGATATTAGATAATTTAAGAATAATATAAAAATATATCTTGAGTACTTGTTTACGTTACAGTTTTTGATATATTAATATACAGTACAAATTTCGAAATCCGGACTCGTCGGGACTTTGGCAATTCCGGATTTGGAATCTGGTGGCATGTAGAAATTATAAAATTTAAAATATGAAATCATGATTTATGAAATAATGAAATATTTATGATCTAAAGGGTATCAAAATTTACAAAAATAAAGGCTTAATATTTATTTGTTTACCTTATTAAACATTTCTTTCAATGTAAGTTGTTTAAGTTGCTTCATTTTTTGTGCTAATACAAATTTTAGTTACACATTGTTGAAGTCCTGTAACTGCTGTTTTGAGAATTCCGACTAACTTGTCAATCCGAATTTTGTTACTTCAGTTACTTCTCTGTCACTTTCTTCACTATCGGTAGTGGTATTTTCTGGATCTAGAACCATACTACAGATTTCGCCATTCATGGATTGATTGATGACTGAGAAGCACTCTCATTACAATGAAAAACTTCTTTTATATCATCTTCATTTATAACCGCTTCTCCACATTTCTTTACAAAATCCGTTAATTGCAAAATTTCACATTTGTTTTGCGATATCCTAAAACCATTATAATTAGCGGCTATCATCATCAAATTTCCTTCACTATACATATTTGGCTATGCATCATGAGCTTGGCGACTAACGACAGGTTGTTCCATTAAATTTTATCTTGCTTCTATCACGCACCGAGACAGTTAAGCCTGAATTGTATTAGTTTAGTTATTTATTATACTTATGTCTACTTCTTGCACATGTTTAAGGTTTATCTGAGTTCTGAATAAATAAATCTTAGTGAGGGCCGGCGCTAGATATCTTGCCACCTGATGCAGTCTCTGTGGGTTCTAAATTCTGTGACCATATGAGCCCTGGTGCTGATTCTGGGTTTATGTGAATAACAAATCATTTATTCTTAAATCAAATAGCCCTAAAATCTAACCTAACTCTTTAGCATTGCGTTGTGATTTATCATCACAACGCTAATGCTAGCATATCAAAACAAAATTCTTCCTCATCAATTTTTTAATAATCATTGCCAAGCTTAATGTCAACATAAAAGGTTATCACACTCTTTTATTCAATTACTAACGTAAAAAAAATTGTTTAGGCATTGCTACACAAGTCATTCCTCAATTTGTCATGTTTTGGCAAACATGCGGTGATGAAAGGAAACTATAATAAATAATTGTTCGCCAGGTTGGTATCAGATCAATGATGTATCTGTTTGGAGTGTTTCGGTTTGAGATGTATGCCAAGCAGATACGCAGCAACGGAGCCAAATTACTGATCATACAAATTTATGCTAAAATAATTGTTTTTTCAATAAGGAGGTATTTTATTTAGTGTTGAAGTGAAATTAAGAATCCAGGACTCTCCAGATGTTTTATTATGCACAGAGGGGGGGGGGAATAAAATGCACATGTGTAAGGCCTATGAGAAAAATATTGTTGGTGGTCTTGAGGTCCGAATTTTAGATCATTTTGGATATTGGACGTCTGGATTTCGGACTTTATACTGTATTAGATAAATTTCATTGATGGCATAGCTGATGATGTTAAGGATGCTACTTGTAATTTTTAATTTTAGTATTATGTAGTCACAGATTCTTTCTTAAATTATCTTTGTTTAGGTATAATTTCTAGAGTAATAAACATAATGAAGCATTACAAAATGCTATGATAGATGCACAATCTCAGCAGTTCCCAGTATGAGATGATATTTATATTTACATCATCATAGCTATATATAAAGAGCTGTAACCTATAACATGTTTGATGTTAATGGTATTTAGAATGGTGAATTACTTTATTTCTCAGCTGATGGGATTGGTATTACTTTCATTTTTGTTGGTCTATAAATGTTTTAACTTAATTATAATTGGATACTCTATTTTATGTTCATTTTCACCATATGTAAATGCATATATTATTTCTCTTGTAAAAGAATCATATGACAGAGATTAATTTTGAAAGGATACATTTTGTAAAATTTTATTATAAGCATTTTACTGTTTTTAGGATAGAGAGGAGAAATTTATCAAATTAATAATAATAATAAGGTGCTATTAAAAATTAAAGCTAAATTTAGATCTTACATATATATTTTGCTCAAAATTTTTAGTATGTAGACTTTTATATTTTTATTTAGTATTAGGGCAGAGAAGTAACTTTCACCTAGATTTTATTTAAAACTGTATTAGTTTGAGGGAGGTTCCTGTTCTTCTGTGGGGGATTGTGTTTGTGTTCTTGGAAGCAATTTGAAAGTAGATGTTCACATTTTAGAAGGTCAACAGCTGGCAATAAAGAGCTGCAATATGCAGTATGTTTGCTAAATGAAGATACACATTAAAATGAGTGTAGATTATGTTAACTGGCATTATATTTTGAATGGTGAAGTTACTTCAGTTCTTAACAGATGGAATTTGTTGTCATATGATACTAATTCAAAAATTTATGTTTATCATATGATATTAATTCCAAAATTTGTTTGTAACATATGAAAAGTAACATATGATAAACATAAATTTTGGAAGGACACATTTCAGAAACTTAATATAAGCATTTTACTGTTTGCAGGATAAGAAGGAAAAATTACCAAATTAAAAATGTAGATTTTAAGAGCTATCACTATTTAAATTCAAATTTGATATTACATATATATCTTGCACAAAATTTTAAGTAAACTTTTAATATTCTTATTTAGTATTTATCAGAAAAGCAACTTTAGTTTGTCATAGATTTTGACTTTTGATCAGTTTAAAAAATGATCAGAAACAGGTCCATATTCTTCAGGAGGGAAAAAAATCTTAGCGTTTTTGACAGTGATTTAGAAGTAGATGTTTTCTGCTAATGTTAATCTAAATTCTACGTTGGTATGTTTTTCATCCATTTAATTTTTTAGTTTGATACAAAAGTTTAATGAAAATAGCTATGTTTAAATTTTATGTAGTTTATTAGTTATTGTAATGTTTTTCTTCATTGCACATCTTAGAAATTGTTTTACAGAGTACAGATTTGAATCGGTAAATTTAGAAAAAGTATATTTGCTGTCATTGTTTACAGAGAATTTTTGGTAAACTGTGTATAGTGAGTTGTATGCATCTACATTTTGGCACAGATTTAACATTTTACTAAGGTTTATAGTTTTACAGATTATTTGCTTTATTTTTAATGTAATATTTGGCTGAATATAACATTTTATACATGTGATGATATGCATATGAATATGATAGGCAAACAGATGGACACAAAATATTAATCTAATTTATAAGACGAGCTGTCTTAATTTTGTGTTTGTACAGGCGTAAAGATAATCATAAATGTAATTAGAGTAAGTTATCTACTTTCATAAAATCTTTAGGATAAGATATTTGTCTTATATATATAATATTCTTACATGGAACTACTTTCATAGATCTTTAGGATAAGATATTTGTTTTATATATAATATTCTTACATGGACATAATTTCATTATTATTGACTTTATTAATGACAGTAGTTAAGATCTGCCCCTTTTTATAATGTGTTACACTGTATTAGGTCATGCTGCCACAACATCTCACATCCATATATATAACCTTCTCAAGCTTGACAAACTGGCAGTTCTGACAGTGTTGTTAATTTAAATTTATTTCCCAAGTTGTAACAGCTCATTGTATATCAACATTACATACTAAAATTTTAATTTGTGAAGCTACATTTTTTTTTATTTCTGTTTTTATTTTGTTTCTCAATAGTGCATCTGTTTGCTATGATATTTAACAAATAATTTTTATTAACTTTTATACCAGATTAATACAAATTTCTACTATCTTATATTATTTGGCTATAAAATATTATTTTACACATCAACTAGAAATAAGTTTGCTACATTTTAAAATATTTCAATTAGCATTAACTTATTGTGATACATGATTAATACATTAAATAAATATAAATTAGCTAATTTGAGATTTTAGAATGAAATCATAAACAAAAATCTGTCTATATAATAGAAAGTTTTCCATTCACTTTCCCATTCTTTAAAGAATTACAGCCTGTGTTAAGTATTAGCTTTTCTGATTGAGACTTGAATAATCTTTTTTTACTGTGATTTACATTAAAACATTTATATATGTTTCTAATTCCTATAATGAAAAAACTTCTTCTAAAACTTAACTTTCTATAAGCTTTAGAATTCTGTATTTACTTATCTTAAAACAATATGTTTATGTATAATTACAATGCATTTCCATCATTATAAGAATACTGTGTGTCTTTATTTGGATTATTTTTTTGTTTATTTTATGTTAATCCTAGGTCAACTTAAACTCCTTAACATGTCTTCTGACTAGCATTTCAGTTATTGAAATCTTGATAAGTTAAAATTTTCAATAAGTCCACTTAAAAATTAAAACATAGATTGAAATTAATATTACCAATTTTTTATTAATATAAGCTTTTTCTGATTCTTTCAGTTTCAGTTTATCAAGTTCTGACTGCATGTGTATTTTATTTTTTAAAATTTATATTTTTTTTAAGCTGCCTTACTTTATTCATGTAATAGAAAAATTGCATTTCAGATGTGAACATGCTTTATGATCAGTGTTTTATGTGCATCAAAGTTAACAGATTTGGGAAAATTTCATAGCATATTTATCGCAATGGATTATTTTGTCATTGTCCCTGTAATAAAATATAGTGTAGGAATAGATAATAATTTATCTCAGAGATGTTTTTGTATAGAAAATGTTTGCATCTGAAGTATCGTTTCATATGACATAATTTTAAATAATTTCAAAAGTCCATAATATATTTTGTTAATGTAAGTATGCTTTGCTGTGTATGAATAGTTTTAATTTCAGTCTTTAAGTGAAGATTAATTTCTCTTCTAAATCTCAGTTTGATTTTCTGTAAAATGTTGCATTATTTTTGTGTATTTTCAGTGCGTGTTTCCAAGTTTCGTCATTTGAATGGTACAGTCTTCAATAAGGAGTATCATATTACTGATTTAGCAACTCTTACAAGAACCATACCAGGTGAATGCAATGGTTTTGATGCCAATGAAAAACGAGTGGCTGTTCCAATAGGAGCTGCTGGTAATTTTTTGGCAATTTTAGAGGTAAGTGATATTATTTGAGAAAATTTAATATTTTGAAAGGATTTCTTCTGTTTTCTTCAATTTATATTATGTATGTAAATTGAATAAAATGAGGTCCATCAGAAATTTATTTTTTAATAAAAACAATACACCTAAAATATAAGGTGACTTCAATTAATGTGACATTACTCACAAAGGCCTAATGCAGATTGTAATGAATTCCTGGTGAAAGCTGCATGAGAGAACTCTTTGAACTAACAGGCAACATATGGTGGTTCCTCATGTTATATAAAATAGTGGTATCAGTACAATTATGTTCTTGTATAGCAAGAATCACAGTGGTTCCCATAACATCCAGACATTATAGAACACAGACAGGCCCACAGGATATTAATTTCTCTAACAAAAAGAGACCAAGAGTTATTAGAATTAGGTGGACCAAGAATTAAGTGGTTATGATTCCACACCATATAGCCACATATGCTTATTGCAGTAGCTGTTTGTGTGCAATATGGAGCCTACCTTAATGTGACATTTTTGTATATATCTTCATTGCACCTTCCTGTGTAAAATGGGCTTTATCAGTACACGAAATTATTTTTATCCACCATGTCCATTTCCATGTCTTTTGAAGTGGTAAATTAAGGTGCATATACTAATAACTTAAAATAAGTGAAATAGGTGAAGAACAGAGTTGAAAAGCTCATGTTCAGCCGCAAACTGTAAGAATCTTAAGGAAATCCAACCAAAAGATTATTCTTTTGGAACTTTGATGGATTTTTAGAATCTTCTTTGGTGTGAAATTTCTGTAAGAATACCATTTGTAGAGAGCTTATCATAATTTTAACTTAGGACATTGTGTTTTCAAGGTTTCATTCAGATTCCTAGTCTCTACTGCAAACTAATCTGATATACATTCCATGTGTTGAAAACTATCAATGCACTCTTAACATTGACCTTTTTCAGTTCTTGGTCCAAAGTCAGCAGCTCATCTGCAGCCTTCTCTATGACATAATTTTCTTCTTCCTAACCTTTCCTTTTTTCTATGGTAATGCCCATCTTTTCAGATATGTATTTTTTAAATTGAAGTATTTTCTAAACAAAGTAATTTCTTTTGTCTTTAAAAAAAAGACTTTTAGATTTCTTAAAGTTTATATTTTTTTTTTATTTGTTGCTTTCCTACTACATTAGTATAAACACATGGCAGCTTGAGAACATGAGAGATGACTCATGCAGTGGTGTCTAAAACATTTTTGTTTTAAGTAACTTAATACAAAACAGTATGGTAATCTCTTTTGTTGACTTTAGGCTTGACCACAGTTGCAGACTTCAGTCAGCTGCGGTGCAGAGTGTTGTTAAATATGTTAATGAGGAGAAATTTAACAAAAATATCTTTCCATGTGTAAAAAATAGATTATTGTAAATGATATTCATGGACTCAAAGATTAAATTTAATGCTGTTTTAATTAAAATTAACTGATCTCTTGTCCAGAAAAGCCTTAAGTATATGTGAGAACTTATTAGTTCTGGTCTAAGATGAGTGAAAGCATATGGGAGAAATAGATGCAAGTATAATAAGTAACTTATATAATTCAACATTACCTTCATCAGCATATGATAGAAGCAAAGCAAATATTCATGGAACAACAAGTTCTAGTTGCTAATCTCATGACAGGTTGTCAATAATGCTTAGCAGATGCTAACTAAGCTTTATGATGATAGCTGCAGATTTGAAAGTTTATAGGTAGTCACAAGTGAAATTGTCCAATTAATGGAATTTGTTGAGAAGTAATAAAGGAAAATGATGTAATAGAAGTTGTCCTTTGCAATCACAATGTTCCAATCATCAATCAACTAATGGATGGAAAAATCTGTAGTATGGTTCTAAATCCAGAAAATATCGCTACTGATAATGAAATGACAGAGAGGTTATTGTGAAGAAAAAAATTTTGATTAACAATTTAGTGGGAATTCTCAACATGGGAGGACTTGGGCAGTGGAACTTTGTAACTGAATAAGAAATTGTCTCTGTTTATAAAATTAAAAAGCAAGTATTAGCACAAAAAATAGAGCAACTTAAACAACTTCAGTGAAAGAAAAGTTTAAAAAGTAAATAAGTATTGAGCTTTTTTTTATGTAAATTTTGATTCCTTTGAGATCATAAATTGATTATTTCATAAAGAATTATTTCATATTTTTAATTTTATAATTTCTGCATGTCATCTTACTAGATTTCTAGGATTTAGCTTGTTATTCTTTCCTCATAGAAACCTAATCTATATAAAATGGAATCAGATTTTAATATGCAGTGAAGAAAAAAATAACATCAGGAATAGAAAAAGCAATCAGAAAATGACCTGCTACATAGCTTTGAACAGTAGAAGTGTGATGATGTAAAATCTTGAAATTTATGAACTCAGGAACACTGAGATTTCGATGATTCCAAATCTCAGACTTTGTACTGTGCTGTCTTTGTGCCATTACTGCAGTTAAAACACTGAGCCAAATGTCCTAGAGAAAGGTTAATGGGACATGAGAATCTCTTAAAATCAATTAAAAATTAACCTTATGTGAACCTAAGCCTGTAACTTAAATTTTTACTATAGATTTGTATGTTTACTTTTGACTACCACCCTAATCAGTATAATGGTTAGCAACACTAGCGGCTATGTCATCGAACCAGGGTTCTAATCTCAGATAAGGCTTGGATATTTTTAAGTGTATATTCTCTGTGCAGCATGGGGCCACTTAAAATGCTGGCAAATCTAAAGTCCTCTCAAGAATTTGGTTGTAGAGGAACAGGGATGACAGATCCTGTCATTTGATTCCTTTGATGTTCTCTTTTGAAATTAGACTACAGCTTCTCTTTCTCTTGCTGATATAAAGTGGCTCATTCCCTATTATGCATCATGGGCAAAGGCGTAGCTAGGGGTTTCAGCGCCCGGGGACAACTGAAGATTTTGCGCCCCTTTCTCTGTGCCAAGAACGAAAAAATTTCATTCTAAAATTTCGTAACATGAATTTGGCGAACCCCTGAATGCTGCGCCCGAGGACAGATGTCCCCCCTTGCCCCACCCTAGCTACGCCACTGATCCTGGGGAAAGTTCTCTGTCATGAGATAGCTAAATAACTGATGGGTTCATCCTCAATATTTAATGATAGCTTAGTGTCTGGCCATTAGGAGAGAAAAATACTTTCAAGGAAAATTTCATCCTAATAAAACTATTATTATACTTCTGTTGGTCATTGCTCATTTTCAAGTTTGTTTTTAACTATATTTAATAATTCATCTAGCTTTTTCACTTTCAAAAGTGGGATAGTTAGAAGAATTAAATAAAAGGAGAAGAGAAAAGGTCATGAAGTTGCAGACTTCAGTCAGCTGTGCTGCAAAGTGTTGTTAAATATGTTAATGAGGAGAAAAATGTTAAAAGCAATCTTAGAACTTGAATTTTGGAATTGGTTTAAGGTAGTACATATGAGATATACTGAATGAGTATGGATTTAAGTTCAAATTTTCATTTATTGACACTTCAGATGGGACAAAGACGATAATAATCCTGTCTCTGAGGCCATAAACTGTATGTTTTTAAGCAAAATTATAATATTCCAAGTGAATTAAAATACATTGGATAGATAACAGTGTTTCCATTTGTTAGCTAAGTAATTCTCATAATTTGTTATATTTAGTTATTTCATAAATAGATTTATAAGTAATGAATGTTCATGGGTTTTTTTATGTTGTAAATGAAAACTGTTCGTGTCATTGGAAGTGGTGTGTATAAAAGGTAATAATTAATTTTAAACAGAATGTTGTTTATTTAACTGTGCTAATTATGCTAAATCGTGTTATTGAATATTTGAAATTTATAAATGGAAATCAATTTTTAAATGTTTGTTCACCTTTTCCATGTAAGTGCATAACTTCATGATTACATTATTTGAAATTGTTCTCTGCATGTTAGTAGGCCATCCTATTTGTAGAGTTATTTTTACATAGTCTTTAAAGGTAAACCATCTAATGAGATTTTTTAGTATTTTTATTTTCAGTTAAAGCTGTTGCTAAACAGAGCTTGAAATTTGTGAATTATTTATGCTAAAGCTAGCATACAGCTCTTTCATATATTCCAACTTTGTTTTTGAAAGTAACCATTTTATTATATAGTTATCAGGTACAAATTAGAACATATCTTTTCCAGCTATTGAAGCCTGTGTTTGTAAACTTCTTTATTTATGCAAAACAGATATGTTAAATGTGGTGTAATGCAGGGTAATTTTATGTTGATTTATTGTTTTTATTTACAGCTGTGCAATACTGGGCGTGCACCACCAGCAGCAGATATGCCTGGTATTTTAACTGGAGCAAGTATCATGGATTTTGCTTGGGATCCTTTTGATTCAAATCGTCTTGTTGTTGGTAAAATTATTTTAGATTTTTTTTTTTTTAAATACAGCTAGCTGTATATTCATTTAGTTCATGTGTGATATATAATACATCTTCATCTGTTAGATACACCCTTAATTTCTTTACCATAAATAAGGAGAAAAGAATTAAACATTTTTAAAAAACAAAGAATTTTTAAAAAGTTCATAATTATATCTAACAAATATTTTTACTGAAGAAGATATTTATTTACTTATAACAAGACTTTTTCAAGAGGTATGTCATTCCCTTTTATATCAACATCATAGTCTGATTCTTCTGAGCTTTGAATACCCAAATGTGTATTACACTTCCTCTGGTTATCCTGAGCCATCAAGTGCTTAGAATGTCTTCCAAATTATGCAGTATTTTTTAATGAATGCTGCACTATTTAGGAATTAGTTTCCAAACTGTTGAATTCATTTTGGCATTGTAGCTACATTTTTGGTTTTTGAAAGTGTTATCAGAAAATTGTCAGTCCATAACTAGAATTCATATTCCATTATCATATAATTATTAAGTAATTTTTTATGAGTAAAATTCTTTTGGATGGTCTTGCTATCAGAAATTGTAACCATGTCATGTTTTTATACAATGCTTTTTATAACCTATTTGGATAAGTTTTCTTGAAATTTATCTAGTACTAGCAAACTAAATAAGACTTCCCTGACTTCTGTTATATAAACATTTAATCAGTTTTCTCTTGCACCACCCATGGTACCATCTAATTGACTTTATGGACATGACAACAAAGAAAAAAATATCAGTCTTTTATAGTGCAACTGCTGCCTTCTATATCGAAATTCTAGGAACATTGAAATTTTAGGGCCATTTTATGCAAAAAAAAGTGCTTGGAGAAAATAGATTTAAATAGATTTAAATAAAAAAATTTCAAGTTAATTAAATATCCTGTGTTTAGGCATGTGTAATATGGAACAGTAGTGTAGTTAGCATTAGAAACATTTCTAAAATATGGTAATAATAATAAACTCAGTGCCCACTGAATTATGAAATTAGCAACCATGTTTATTTATATAAGGACAGAATATTAAAGTCAATTCAAAAGTAAATTTTTATTTCATCACCACATATAGTTTAAATAATTTTTGGTACTATTCTGTTATCAGGACCCGGATCTAGAAATATATGTATGCATAAAATATATGCATGTGTTCATGTATGCATGTATATATGTGAGCACGAATGCATGTGTGTGTATGTATGTGCACATGCATGTATATGTAGTATGTATATGCACATACATACACACACATATATTCAAACATTTCTGAATATGGTTCTAATAACTGAACAGTATCTAATTTTTTATTAATTAATTGAAGAAGCAGAAGTCATAAACTTTAAGGAATGTTCTTAAAGCAGTTTTCAACTGATATAAAATTCTAAAGCAAGTAAGTTGTTTTTCTTTTTATACGAGATATTTCTTTTTTCTCATATGATTCTTTAGAAAAACGGTTCTCAACCTTTTGACTAATGCGTACCATCTAAACAAAAATTGGAAAAACTTTAGCACCACTACATTTTTCTATGATTTCTTTTCAATTTCTCAATAGAAATATTACAAAAAAATACATTTTGCCAATTGACAACCTATTGGCTTTTGTATTAAATATTACACAAAATATTAGGGATTACAAATTGTTACACATTTTATTATCAAATTAGTTATAAACTTCAATAAATATTAAATTTCTAAGATTTAGTGTCAAATTTGGCCCAGGTTAGAAAAGATCAATTTCTTTATATCTGGTCTTATTTCACTTAGTTAACCATAAATTAGGATCCACTTTTAATTTTATTCTCTCTCTATTTGTTTTGTTTTTTTTTTTTTTTTTTTTTTCAATTATGACATGGAAGAAAATCCTTGTTTGCACAAATAGGTTGGGTAAAAAGGCAATAAAAATGTAACAGCTTTATTTGAAATACCTTTAAATTCTTTTTTTTATGGATCAGCCAAATGTTAATAAGTGTATTATTTTTGAAATCTTCAGTTAGAAAATTTCTATGAAGTGTTCTTTTTCTTCACGAGATTTTTTAATTTAATAGCTAAAAATACTTTGTTTCTTTGCGTACCACCAGTGGTACATGTACTGCTTGTTGAGAATAGCTGGTTTAGAATATCAGTATTTCTGTTGTATTTTCTTAACATTAACTATGTGTAATTGAACTGGCAACAGTAGGGTTAACTGCTAGTGTTTTCTTTATTTCTTTTTTAAATGCTGCTATACTTTGTATTATGGTACGTAATGCATTACGTTTCAAACAATGGCTAGCTCAGAAGAGATTCATAAGTCATCTACCCAATGAATTAACAGCTATCTTATTATAAGTGGAGCACTTCAAATCTTTTAAACTTAAGGAAAAAAATTATTTACACATTTGTAGAAGTTAAATGAATAAGAAATATCTATCTAGCTACATCATTCAAACATTGTCCCTAAGCTATCTAAACCGCAACTTCTCGTTTTCCTCTGGCGTCCCATGAACTCATGGGACGCCAGAGGAAAACATCTCTAACTGGCCTTCAATTCGTTGGCGTAGTGATGCCATTCCCAACACAGTGTGCAAGTTGTGTTTAGTATATTCTGACTGTTTTAAACATTTAAGAATAATTCATAATCATATTCTTTTAAAATTTTGGTAGTGTTTTATTACACTGCTGGCCATTAAAATTGCAACACCAGGAAGGAATGATCTGATGAACATCAAATTCACATGAAAGGAAGAAGAAGTTGGGATGAGATTTAGTATTTCAGGATTAGTGAGCAGGAGGAAGAAACGACATCTGAAGCACTGCATAAAAGAAAAGTTGTGTAGTGGATTTCTCATTCGGAAAGTGCTTTGTAAGGTTGGAATTTGCTCAGAATATCATGTTGTGCCTCGAATAAGAAGAAATGCTTACCAGCAAGTTTCAAAATTCGATAGAAACAGAATCATTGCCTATTGAAAGGTAGATTATCGTTCCGTGATATTGCTGGTCGTGCTGGTCGACATTCAACAACTGTCATGCGAATATGGATTCAATGGATTGCGGTCATACTGAGTAGCAGGCATGATATCATTGTCTTCCCATGACTAATGCCAGAGAGGACAGATATATTGTGAGGTCAGCCCTGCAAAACTGTATGACCACTGTATCATTAGTCAAAACTGTATCATTAGTCAGGAAATGGGTATGTTTGCAGCATGCCCAGTATAAGCTCATAAAATGCGTCAACATTTGCAGCAGCTTGGACTATCAGCTGGCTGAGCATTACTTCGGCTTCCCTTGACACTGCAGCATAGAGAGAGACGGCGATACTGGTGCACCCAAATGACAAAGCTAGGTATAGGAATGGCGCAATGTCACCTTTTTAACCCTCTGAGCGTTACGTGTTTAGCCCTGAAATTTCAAAGTTCCTCAAAATGTCATGAATAAGTATTTCTGATTTTAATAAAATGGTATTCATTTGTACCTGATTCCTTTTCTTAATACATCCAAACCGAAACAGATACATTAAAAGCTAGCAAAAATTTTATTATAAGGAATATAGAAGAGCCTCTGTACGAATTTTCTGGCATAGCGCGAAGCTTAAATGAGTCGACAGGATGCAGTTTTATGATGGCCAATATGGTCTGGAGGTCAAGAGACGCACGTACTGCTTGCACCGCTGCACTGATGGAAGTTTTGCAGCATTCAGTCACGACAAGGACATCTTGTTCATCACAGTAAGAGTGCAGAGGGGTACATTTCTGACATCTGATATCAGGGTGTGCCCTATTTGAGTCCACCAAATGCATGTTTCAACCAGATAAGGCAAGACCAATGTTGCACGTGGGTTGCTTTCGTGATACACAGACAGACAGGAAGAGTACAGGGGGCACCAAACATCGCCATGAGCAACTAGTATTGCCCACGCATTATCACGTCGATACTCAGGGTAGTAATTTTGCCTGCCGCTGACGGTCGCAGATCTGTCACATGAAAAAATCTGTAGGTGTGATAGTTTGCCACAAACCCCTCAGCTAAATGGTGATGAGTGTGACTGAGGCAGCATGGAATGAGCTGCCCATTTCTGTCATCCAAGCCCAGTTTGACTCCATGCCTAATGAAGTAAGCGGCGTTTTTACTTGCGAGGGTGGAAGCTGTTTCTATTAATTTTGCACCCCTGTAAACCTCCGAAATGCTTACAAATTTGATTATTTTGACTTTGTGCCGTACTGTTTACATGCAATAAATATTTTTTTTGTATTTGCTTTTCTTCATGTTGTTACAATTTTAATGGTCATCAGTGTAAAATATTGCGGAGAAAAAGGGCATTTAAATGTTGTTATGCCCAAGTATATCATGAAGGTATTGAAACTGAATACATGCAGTCAGATCAAGCTCCTATTGTCTATAATAGTAAATTATTCTTAATTTCTTTAAAATGAGGAAGTTAATTTTTTTTTAAAAAGTGTGTTCATTGAAAAGACCCAGTTCAAATAAAAAGGGTACATTTCTGTCATCTGATGTCCAGTAGTTGTGCCCTATCTTCGAGGTCATCAAATGCCATGTTCCAACAAGATAATGCAAGACCACTAACAAAAAGTACTAAATAAAAGACAAACAATGTAATAAAAAGTATATATAATTTGCAATACATATAAGTAAAGCTAAGTATTTAAAAAATAATCCATCTTATTACATATATATATGTATATGTGTGTAAATTTTATATATACATATATATATATAATAAGATGGGTTATTTAAATTGGGTTTTAGCAAAAGTTTCCTGCCACCACAAATATCATCTGCGCAGACAGTTCGTGTTGGTGTGTTTAATCATATTTTGTGAAATGATTTTTGACGTTTGAAAGAAAGAGACTTTCTTTAGAACACTCACTGTGTTGTGAAATTTGTAAAAAAATATCATTATTAAGTACAAGGTGTCTGAAATGGAACTCTTGTGCTACCAGATTAGAATCATCATTTAATTCCAATTCTGTTGCAAAATGTCAGCTACAGAATGTCACTAAATCATGTGTATAGCTTTAGGTACTAATGTTGTCTCATATGACACTGTGAAGGTTTGGTATTGAAAGTTTGAAAACAAGGACTGTGACATTTAAGAAGCAGAATGCTCTAGCCGGTCTAATGATGTTAATGAGACGGCCCACCTGTGAACTTGTGGAAGAGGATCAGTATGCAACCGCTCGAGAGCTTGCTAAAGAATTTGACATGTGTGCCATGCACATTAGTCATGGTATGCATTTTATAAATTTGACATGCAAGTTCAATCACTGGGTGTCATATGAGCTGACTCAGATAAGGGCAGACGAGTTCGGGCCCTATACTAATCTGCTCGAATGTCAACACAAGAACAAAATTATGGATCAGATCATCACTTGTGATGAAAAGTGGATTTACTTCAACAACGCAGGTTTATAAAGGGGTTGGTCTGTACCTGGTAAGCCTGCCAGCAGCATCACAAAGCACAGTTTGACTAACAAAAAGATCATGCTTTGTATTTGGTGGGATTGCCATGGTTTAGCCATGAAGATTATCTGGAAAAAGGTAAAACCCTTGACAGTAAGCATATACAGGGAGATGCTAGTCTGTGCTGACACTGCTATCAAGGAAAATCGTCGAACTGAATTCCAATGCAATAAGGTAATGTTCCGTCAAGATAATGCAAGACCACATGTGTCTGCATTCACCTGCTGGACTCTGTATGGGATCTTTTGCCACATCCTCCATATAGCCCCGATATCACTCATTCAGACTTTTACCTTTTTTTCACACCTGCAGCTATATCTTGCTGGTGCTATCTTCCATTTTGCACAGGACATCTGAAATGAGGTAGATCTGTTTTTGGACTCGCAGCCACCAAGTTTCTGGGCCGAAGGCTTTGAAAAACTACCAGAATGTTGGGAGAAAATCATAAATTTGGATGGTAATTACTTTTCACATTTAAGGTACAGCTTTCGTGTTTTTTCCCCCCAACTTTATTAAGAACATTTTTTGGTAGAAAACTTTCGTTACAGTTTATGATCTTTTCAGCTGCTAAGGTGTTATTTGAAATATCAGATTGCAATTTTTGGTTACTTGTGTAAAATCAAATAAATAAATTAAGCACATTATTTATGTATTATTATTCATGTTGTTGATAATAATACAATTATAGTTTATTTAAAATTAGGTAAAAAAGCAACTTTAGGTTGATATGGGTCTTGAACATTGATTTTGAGGGTGATCAGACATAGTTCTCTCTTCTTTAGGAGCAACAACCAGTTCAGGAGAGACACATTTCTGATCACTTTGAAAACTGATAAAGATTCAAAATCAATACTGATTCACGCATCAGTCTAAGGCAGTGATTCCCAACCTTTTTTGTACTATGCCCCACCTAATCCTCTCTAAAATTCGTATGCTCCCCTTAGCATATACATAATTTTTAATATTTAAAAATTTAAATGTTCACAAAAAAAAAATAAAAAAAAAAATAAATAAATAAATAAAAACATGAATGATAGCTTTTAAGAAGAAATCACTAGAAAATGTTGTGAGTAAACACAATAAGTAAACTTTCAAAGCATATAATAGAGAACTGAAATTCAAGTACAAAATATTTTTAATGATAGTGTTTCTAAAATAATTTTAGTAATTATTTATTATTTAAATTTAGTGAGATGCTTGCGCTTGATGCAAAGAGATTTTATATCATACTCCAATTTAGTTAACTTCAGTTTTAAGTCTCCTCGTTTTATTATATCCAGCCGATTTCTTTAACAGCAAATTATTTATGGCACTAAATCCGCATTCAGCTAAATATGAAGAAGAAAATGGTAAGAATAGTTCTGTTGCACATTTTGTTGAATTTGGATATTTGATTTTGGTTTCCTCACAAAGCCATACCATCGCTCCTTTTGTATTAAGTAAAGCTTTTATTGACTCATCATTTTGAATTTCTGCAGATGTTCTTGATACTGCATATTTGAAATATGAGCCAAATCCACTAACATTGACTGCATCATCCAAGTTGAGAAATCAATTTGTTTCAAATAAAAAAAATCTTCCTTTTAAATCAGCCGATAAAATTTTCAGATGATTGATAATAAGGTGCATAGCAATATCAGTCATTTCATACTTTTCTATTCAATGAAACTTTTCAAAATTTTTGTTGTAAATATATGCCTGACGTAATTCAATAAAGGTAATGAAATCAAATATCTCTGCTTTTGCATTGACAAGAATTTTACTTGCTCCTTGAAGTTGTTTATTTAATATATTTAGTTTTTCAAAGATATCGACTAAATAACTCGCAAAAGTTCATCAACAGTTAACAGATTTTTCATTTCAGGTTTGTCACTTACAAATTAACTAAGAGTATCAAACATTTCCATAAATCTTTTCAAGCAGTTCAGTTTCAACAGCCATCTTACTTCAATGTGAAGTCTCATATAGTCTTCATTTTGTTTTTCACAAAATGACTTGAGACATTCACATTTGGCACTATCTTTAACAGCATTGATACACTTTATAACTGAATTTAGTACTTCGTTTAGAACAGGCGAAATGTTTTTAGCTACCAGGTTTTCTCTATGAATAACACAATGCACAAGAAGCATTTCTGGATTCTCATCTTTCATCAATTTTAAGCAACTCTTTTTTTTCCCCCATCACATTAGGAGCACCTTCTGCAGCACAAGATGTTATATTTTTCATTGTTATATTTTTAACATCTAACTAATTTTTTAGGTTACTATAAATATCTTTGGAGGTAATGGTGCTTTTTAATGATTTGCAGAATAATTATTCTTCAGGAAAATCATCTTTATCAATATATCTTATGTAAGTACAGCCTCATTGTCTCTCAAAGTTGATTCATCCATTTGCACCAAAATTTTCTTGTTTTCAGTTTTTCAACAAGTTGTATTTCAATATCCTCACTCATTTCATCTATTCTTCTGCTAGCCACTAAGGAATATTAAGCCAATGATGTCTTTGTCATCCTTTTCCGGAACTGTTTTAAGAAATGTTGATATTGATGTTCGATTAAATTCTTCCCTATAGTATGACTCTTCCCAGATTTAGGGATGAGTAATGTAATTTGATAGCTAGCCTCAAGAGTACGACTAACAGTTGCATTATGAGCTGTAAATAGAGACTTTAATGTTACTCTTTTCTCAAAAATTTCCCTTAAAGTTTGAAAATAATTCTTAATATGAGGATTATGTTTCGCTTTCAAATATGCCTCTAGACAAATTTGTTTCATTGATTCGTTGGTCAAAATTGTTGGCATAAAAGATAAAAAGGTGATCGCTCATCGTATCTAGCTGGTATGAAGCCAAATTTTAAGTATTACTCCGAAATACTGATGAACCTTTTTCTTGCATGCACCGCTCATTTCACTAAGGGCTGAAATGAAAATAAGATCAATTAAAAACTTCATGTGTCAGCCATTTAAATGCCCTTTAAAAGCATTTAAATGTCCATACCTACAGCAAAAATTCTTTATGAAGTATTTAAAATGCACCGCAATTTAAAATCTTTTTTACGTACACATCACTTACATTATTCTTTATTTGGAGGAATAAAAAATGAAATTTCGAAAAAGTTCGACTTTTTGAAGAAAATTTGGAGATTTGACCATCCCCTTTCCCTTTAAAATCTGGACGAGTATATTTTCAAATTGCTCCCTTTAGCAACCGAATTGCCCACCTGTGGGGCTTGGGCCTACCATTGGGAAATACTGGTCTAAGCAGTCTAAAGTTGCTTGCTTTTTTGGGGGATGGGGGCTAATTTTGAATGTTATATTGGTTGACTTTCGTTTGGTTTGATATGGATTTATTTGGGTTTACAAATATGACATATTCGTCATTTTCGTTATTTTTAGTTTGTGATTCCGGAGATGTGCAGGTATGGATTATACCTGAAGAAGGTCTTTTGGAAAAATTAGAAGAGCCAGCCTTTTCTTTTAAAGCTCATTCAGAAAAAATCAATATAGTAAAATTCCATCCTTGTGCAAAGGGTATTATTGCAACTGCATCATCAGATCTTACTATTCGTATATGGGATCTCGCATCAGAAGAAGAAAAAATTTGTCTAGTTGGATTTTCTGATCAAGTAAGAATATAAATTCATAAAGATTCACATATGTATGGAAAAGTGTATTCATTTCAGTTATTTTAGAAAAATTATGGAAAATTTTAAAAAGCTGTTTTGTTAGTTATTATACAGAAAGTTAAAGAATATATATATATATATATATTGCTGTGAAGTATAATGAAAAAAATGAAATTTTTTTGCAATTTGAATGCAACATTGCTACTGTATCTGCAAATGTAAATATTTATAAAATGTGTTAATTACAACAATTAATTTAGCATGCCATCTGATTATGTTAGTCATACTGATATGAGATGGAATTTATGTAACACCTATTTAATAAAAAGGAATTTTCTAAAATAAAACAGAGACACAGTGTGTATGTGTATATATATATACACACACATGCATAATAAGGTCAGTATTTTATTTTAGTTATTGTTGTAAATCCTTTTTTTCCTTGTTTACATTTATTAGAGCTCATATTATTTCCTGTGATGATTGAGTTACTTATCAGCATATATGATCAAGGTAAATGATCAAATTAATATTTATATGTTAAATATATTTTTTGCTGGTGAGACGGCATTTTGACATGTGTAATTTATGGTAAGGAATTCTTTTGTAGACAACTTTTACAAAGTACCATATTCTGGTGTATAACGACACCAGTATATAAGCACACTTTGATTTCAAAATTTATATTTTAATTTTAGTAATTGCCGTATAATAGCACCCTTCTTTACAAAGTAATGTCTGATACTCTTATCTTTGAAGTAATGTGAAAATTTTTCAGGCTTTGTTTTTACTAGCTATTTGATTAGTGAGAGCAGACCCTTTTTCTCTTGCTTTATCGTGCGTAGTTTGTTAATTTTTATCTGTAATTTTAATTTGTTTATATATTTAATAATTTTTTAGCAAATTAACTGTAAAGGTATAGTATTTTAATTATTTTCTTATAAATTTTAAATTGAATGGCCGGAGAGAGGCCTCAGCATTGCTGAAGCAATGAGAGTTTCCTTTTTTTCCCCTGGTTTTTTTTTGGAGGGTGTAGAGTAGCAGTCCTCCCCATGGTGCATCCTGGGTAATGCTAAATCTGCTACAGAGATCAGATTCTACTAAATCATAGACAAAGTATTTTACTGTAATACGTGCTTCACAGCAACGCTCACCTATTGCAGCTTGTGCGGCTCAGGGTGTTCGTTTTGGACACACCCACAAAATGGAAACGGTTTGTGCAAGCTTTGTAAAATTATACTTGCATACTATCCTAGGCCTAAATAGACTGCCTACAAATATTTTTGGTAAAATTCCAACTTTAAAGAGTAGTGTGCCGGAAAGGATTAATGTGGGCAAAAAGGAATGCTAATGAAAGTAAAAGCTTTAGAGCAACTTAAAGTTATATAGTCAGTGTATTGCACAGAATAATTTAGTTCCATGACAAGAAACAAAAGTTTCATACAAGATTCCCAAAGATTTGGACATAAATTGTTAAGTTTCAATAAATATGTTATTGACCAACAAAGGGGAAAAAAAAAAAAAAAATCACTGTCATTGATTTGAAATATGGATGAAATTCCAATTATGTTTGATATGACAATAAATAAAACAATTGATATGAAAGGAACAAAAAGAGCAACAGTTCACAAATAACCTCACTTCATCGTAATTCTTTCTTGTTTAGCGAATGGTACAAAATTAAAATCCATGGTTAAAAGAAAGATTATGCTGAAGTGAATTTCCCAAAGGGTTTTTTCATTCATATTCATGAGAAAGGCTGGATAGATGAAAGTGGGGTGAAATTGTGAATAAGAAATGTTTGGTAAAAGCATCCTAGCCTTAAAGAATCTAGAAAATCTTTTAGTTTGGGATATATTGGGATACCATCTAACGAATAATTCAAAGATGTTGTCAAAAATGTGTAAA